ACTCTGGTATTCATTAGAATATTTACGTTCCATAACTTCACTAAATATTTATTAATTGTCAAACATTTTTAAAAATATATTGGTAAAATAAATATTATTATTTAATTAGGTAAGCTGGGGAAGGTTGTTTAAATCGAATATCTTTTTTTATCTCATTTCCTATATGATCAACTGTTTGCTTTTTTTATAACGATTGCATATTAATATTTCAAAAATAAATTATTGGGGACGGCTTGGCCGTGCGTGCTAACAATAAGACGTATGCAAAATGGCCGTTGCCCGGCAACCTAGTAAACCGAAGATCGTGAATTGCTGGAAAGATTTTTAAGTTTGGCATCAATAGCGTGTCCAGAAAAAAAACTTTTAGCCGGAGAGACGATGAAGTGGGTAAAATATAATTGAATATACGAATTAATATTAAGAGCGATATGTTATCATTTTAATTCTTCTGGTTCTCTCTCGGTGGCGATGCTTTTATTGTTTTACTTCCATTTTTCACAACATCCTAATGCATTGATAACAAAAATGTAAAACAAGTACAAATCATTCCAATTTGTATTTAGAAAATTCTCTAAGCCTCCTAAAAATGTTTTTAACTGCATTTCTAATTTTCTGATCGAGGATTTCAATAGCTCAAAACCATCTCACGACAACATGGACCATTTTAAAAAAAGCACAGTAGTCTCGCAGTTAGTGATTACAAACTACAAAGGACTGTCCTTTAATGATTTTTAATGATAATATATGATAATGATGATAAAGAATTTTGTTTTAAAATAAAATTCAATATCTAAAAAACCGTCATCTTAGTCTTTCCCTTAAATATGGAATGTAAAATATTGAAAAAAATGATAACAAATTTCATATCCACCGCAAGAAATTGAAGTTTGGAATTATTTTTATTTTATTTTGAAAGAAAGTAACAATAGCATTAAAATTATTTAATTTAGAAAAAATATTTAATAGAAAAAACAATTGGAGTATCAGAAACGTGATGAAATTTCTATAAATCCATGTGGATTTTGTCTTTGTAAAATTCCTTTATATGGTACTATTAAGCGGCTGATCATTAGTAAGTTCTTTTGTTTCGCGAAATCATGGATTATTTGTAATTTATTTATTTATATTTTTACCATTTCAGAACAAAATACGAATTTACAATTTTTAGAAAAACTTCATGAAAAAGCTTTAAACCTATATTAAGTAAGGTTTGTAACTGATTAAACTAAGATTTTTTTTCCTGTTATATAAAAAAAATATGAGATGAGAAATAAAATTAATTTGATTCTGGCGCGAAAGTCCACTTAGAATAATAGCAGAGTTAAAAAAATATATATCAATCAATCTATCATGTAAAAACAATACAAATATATTTAAAAAATACAAAGAGAAAAATAAAATGGATCTAATCAAGTGAGCAATTGTAATTACATAACCTAAAAAGTTCTTAAAAGCTTGCGTAAGTTTGAATGTGTAGTAAGCGGTAGAATAGGAGTTGTTTGAAGGAATTTGTGGAAGTTGTTTGAAGTATGGAGATATGTAAGGAGTTCCAAAAGCAGGTAGCACGGATAACGAAGGATTTGCATAAGGATTTTATGGGAGGGGATGTATAGATCTATAGGATGTGGGGAGAACTTTTGATTCTGAGGACTTGTAAAAGGAAAACACCAAGAAGGGATTAAGCGTCTGAAAGGGGGATAGAGCAAAGTAACGTTGTATACTGCAAAAATGACTTCAAATCTTTTATTTGTTTTCTATTAAATGAGTCCGTGGTGCCCACCTCTTCATCTACCTCTTATCCTCCCCCTAAAGTCAATAGCGCAAGAACCTATCTTTATCTTCCCCGCACTCCCAAAATATTTTATAGCTCACCTTTTCTTAAAAACAGAGCAAGCGAAGATAGAATTAGAAAATTCGTAGATCGTGCACAATCACAATTTTTTTTTTGTCCTCCCCTTCCTCGCCGTTAAGGCTATACAGCGTTTTCCCGGACCAGGAGGTATGGGCGGGGATTTAAAAGACTCCCTCGACACCGAGACTGCGAACTCGTGACTATTTTTATATCCATTTGTTCCATTGCCGGGCAACGCTGTGCATACGCGTTAGCCCATTCGGCGACCCAGCCCACTACACAATTAAACTTGCTTGTTCTTCCCTGTTTCCCCTTGTCCCTTACCATGGAAGTTTTCGTTCCGAAAATTCATAACCCCGCCAAAATGTGCCTCTGTCACGAATTCAAACAACCGGCAAAATATGCCCCTCTCGAAAATTCACACTCTCTTCTGGACACCTCTGAAATGATATGCTTTGTAATAAATTATTTATTTAAAAAATGTAAAAAAATTATCTAACTATGCCTATCTTAATTATGGTAATTGATTTGTATTTTAATGAATGACACTATAAGTTCCCATCTAATGCTAATGATAATATCGATGCTTTGATAAAATTACTGTTAAGAAACTGTAATTTGTTGTATTGCAACCTTAAATAGGTTTTGAATTCCTCTCGGTAATAAAGGCTCCATTCGGATGCAGCATGGGAACGTTTGTAAATTCAAGAAAATAACCCTTACTTCGCTAGAAGAATATTTTTTTCTGAAAAACAATATTTAACAGGGATATGGTATTTAATTTTATAAATTGCCATAATCGTGCAAAATGAAATCCTCATGTCACAAAGTAAAGAGGACGTCTTTACCGATTTAAGGGATAACCTTACAATTATTAATTAATGTATCAGGGAAAATAACAAATATTAAATATTAAAATCCTAATCTTAATTTGAAGATAGAAACATTTTGTTTGTCACATAATAAAATAAGGACAAATCTATCTACTTCAAAAATACTGGTGCACTATAATTTTTTATTGATAATGTTTAAACATTTATTATAAATAAAAGTAGAATTTTTACTTTAGTTTTTAATAAATAAAAAGATTATTTAAATAATTAATTTAATATAAAGCATTTGAAGTCATAGGAAAAAGAAGAGCACAATAGATTATAGTAATTCTACAACCACCACACTGCAAAAGCCTATAAGTACAATTTTATTAGAAACTATTGTTTTGAGCTGTTCTGGTCAATGCTGGTCAATTCCCAATGACCACGCCCATAGTAATAAATTAAAACTAAAAACTGTGTTTAAAACATTACATATCAGTCTAAAGGGTGTAGCAAAAATTAAACCAAAAATGTAAATCATAAGATAAGAAAACATAGTTTAATTCGTCGTAAGAACAATTTACTTTAAAAATTTTAAACTTATAGATTTCTGCAGAATGGCTGTCTAATTATTTTTGCTGAAAATGCAGTATTTCAAATCATATGTTGTTTTACAAAAAATACAGTGAATCTCAGCTTATTCTAGCCCGAACCTCATCCTAGTTAATGAGCACTGAAAGCTTATTAAACAAATTTTTTTTTGTAGAAGTGGGATAATTTCCGTCTAGCTCGAGACTGATGATAAAAAAAATCCGCAAGGAAATAAGTCATGACCGATAATGAACTCGTTACTATTTGAAAACTTTGATCGTGATAACGTAATTTATTATTTACTCAATTAAAACAAAATATCTTTGAAATGTCGTAACTCACCATGCATATTTTTTAAAACAATGATGTAAATTGTTTAACTTTGAACCAAAAGAAATAAATGTAATCAAAATAGGATTTCGTTTAAAATGTTAAAGCCGAAAAAGCAAAAAAAAACAAAACAAATATATATATATAAGACCATGGATAAAAGACATCTCTAAAATGTGACATTGTCAGGATATCTCTGTAAAATATCAAGATACTATATATAATTATATTAAAGAGGAGTTGGTTTGGCTGGTCAGTCAGTCACAACTTGTAATTCACAAGCAACAAAGTAAAAATAAATAAATTATATTTATATATTATATATAAAATTATATTATATATATATATATCAATCAGTACAGATATTCAAAAAAACAAAAATTGTTAAATATTCCTTTTATAATAGCAGGAATTATAAAACCTACACGTTTGTGATATGCCATTTATGCAAAATCCGGTGTAGCCGAAAGGCAAAATAGGGAGGAATAAATAAATAGATTATATATATATATATATATATATATATATATATATATATATATATATATATATATATATATAAGTTTATATGTACATATATACATAATTATATTGTTCATAAAATTAATATAATTTATTTATTTTTACTTTGTTACTTGTGACTGCACACCTCAACCAACTACTCTTCAATATATCCGTGACAGTCAATTATTAATCCACTATACATAGTTTTATCTAAAAAATAATTTTCATCCCAGCAATTCTAATTATTAATAAATTTATTTTTTGTATATTTTAACTAAAACAAAAAACACGCTGACTGCTATAAAATACAGTACAATACCTAATCCTCGACGACTGTGGATCGGAGCTTCCGGGGTACCATAAATATTTTCATAATCTTTCTTTCTTTGTTTTCTGATATTCTATTTTTATTTTTTATTATGAAAATTTATTTTATCAATATTTCTATTACGATTGTATCACTAGAAATTGTCAATAATAATAGTTTTCAGTAGAGAATATTTAAAATGAAATAAGGGATATGTTTTTGTATTGTAACAATTATATGTTTTTGTATTATATACTAATGTATAAAAATACAAATCGTTTGTAATAACATTAATGCCATAATATCGAATGTGTTGTTATGAATCATAATTTTAAAAAAATGTGATTATTTTGTTTCCAAATGTTAATATCTCATTTTTTCATTAGTTTTATGTAACATCCGAAAATAAACAGGATGCAATTTTATTGTATAGAGTATTCTAATATGTAACTAATTATTAGCATATGAATATGAAAAATGAATCCGATCCGTACTTTTTCATTCACGATGTTTATGCGTGCCGGATTCATGACTTTTAAACTCTTATAGAAGAATTTAAATTTGTGACTGAAATTTTGAAAAGATAAAGCATGTGGCTTACCTTTGCCATGGTGTAGTTAAAGCTTTGTGCGGAGCTGTAGGCTGTGGAGGGTTCCATGTCTTTTATACTCACCGGCCCCACTCCACACACCGCGGGGGTCTCCTGCAACCTCATGCGTTAGGAAATTGTTTAAATGTTGTCTTAACTGTTTTATGGCTAGCCGATGACACCGGATCTAGGTCGCAGGGGCGTGATGGTGACTATGTTATCTTCGAGGGCAAATTGTAAATTAGCCGAATGTGTTTACATCTCTTTCTCGGTTTCCTGATCCGCAAGCGGCGCAAAGAACTTTCAAGAACAAGGGAAAAAACTGGTGTCTTTGGAACGTTAAAAAATAATAAAAATCTGCTATAAAATATTGAATATGTATCAATATATTAACATCAACATACATAACAACAAGGATCTCCAAAAAAATATGTATGTGTGACATAAGAAACATCTCGAATTTTCGATTTATTTGCCTGCATCAAGTGAAATTTTAAGTCAATGCGTTTGAATTTATATTATTTTGAAAATACGAAAGGAATCTTTGGATATGCAAAAAATAGCATATGTTTACATTTGTAAACATATACTATTTTTGCACTTACGCATTGTCTTAAAATTTCACTTGATGTAAGCAAATATATTGAAAATTCGAGATGTTTCTTGGCCAGTTAAGGATAACCAAGAAATACATACAGTTTCTTGTTTAATTTAATAATGGTGTATTATTAATAATAGACCAAATTGTTGATCCCCTGTTTTACAATTTTATTTAGGTTAATATAAATCACTTGAGTTATTAGTGATACAGAGGGAAAGCATTGATAAATCATTAAAAAAATAATATAAACAGCTAATATACTAATATTATAAAAAAGCTGAAATAAATTTAAAAACATAGTTATATGTAAATACAATTTGAATAAAATAAAATTGGGGGACGAAGGATCAACAATTTTGTCAGTTATTATTAATGGGGAGTCACACCCAATCTACTTTTAAAAACATTAAATCGGAGACCGGACGAAAGTATGGAAATGTCCTAAACCGAATAACCTTGTCATGAAAAGAGGAGTCTAAGTTGCATCAAGTTGCAGCAGAAGGTTTTTTTTATTTCCTTGACTGGCTGAGAAGCATTTTTTTTTTTTTTTCCTTCCTCGCCTTTTAGGCTATACGGGATTTTATCCGAACCAGGAGGTGAGGCGATGGATTAAAAGACTCCCCTGGCACCGGAACGCGAACCACCAATTATTTTATCGTTAATTACTTTTGTTATCAGGTTGCCAGGCAACGCGCGGTGCTGTCAACAAACGTTAACCAGCTTGGACAATCCGCTTCTAAAAGAATATGGTGTACCCACTTTTGAAACAGGAACCTTATCACGTTCGCATGTTAGCCACTAAACTATTGAGACACTTGGCTGAGAAGTATTTTCTAAGTTTTCGACCTCCGCTAACCCATGGATCGATTTTGAATATTCAAAAAACTGCTACATTTTTAGCCTCCCCTCCCCTCATCTCAGACCGCAGGCCCCTTATAGACAAAAAATAATCTATTAATTTTTCAACTTGATTAAATTAACTATGATTTGAGAACAGAATAGGCTCGGTTATACCTAAAAGGTTTCGATCAACAGCTTTTCAAAATTCAGCAAACTTTCTAAACTTAAAAAATGTTAGCTATAACAATTTTCATGTTTTATCGTACGACATTGTCTTCGTATCTCCAATGGCCTGTCTATTGCAAGTCCGCGCAATAAAGTGGTAAAATATATAATAATCAATAGTGCCAATTTGAACGTGAGTGAATTGGATGGATTAGACACTTTTCACATGATGGGAAGAATAATGATGGTAAATTCCTATAACTCAGTACACCTGGAAGGAAAAATACAATATTTGACAGGTTGCTCTACTAATCAACTTATACAAAAAAATCCTCCTCTGCAGTTAGAAAACTAATTTTTATCAGTAAGTCCATGGATGAATATGTCACAGAAGGAGGTGGATTTGCTTGGTCCAGATCCTTAGAACCGGAACAAACACCGTTAATCACATTTCGTTTACACTTTTATGCCAATCATTTACACTGTGTGTATAGACTTAATGTAAATGTTTGTTAAATGAATTCTATATTTCCATTTCGGTCGTCTGATAGTAAACACTGAACCAAACCCTCCCCCTCCACCACGGCTCCCCCTTCAAAATGGTATAATGAATAAATATTTTTTTCACTGACTCATACAAACAGGTTATTGAAAATATGAAGACAATTTAGATAAAACATGAAAATCATAATAATTTAAAAATATCAAATTTGGAAAATTGTTCAAATTTTGTAAAGCTGTAGTTTAAAACCTATTAGATTTACCGAACTCATTCTTGTCCCAAACAGTAATAAATTTGATTTAGTTAAAACATTTATAGAATATTTTTTGTCTATAACGTACCCCTTCATGCTTATAATGGCGGAAAAACAGAGAAAAGTACAAACAATATTTTGGGTTATTCAAAATGATCTTGGAGGCTGTCGGTGTCGGAAATTTGGATTTTGCATTCCGATTATATCCAATAAAAGAAAAATAATAAACCTTATGCCACCACAAGATGCAACTTACGATGTATAAGATTATGGGACTATCTATAGTTAATTTAGATTACAAAGCGTGCAAATTTCTTTTGACTTGATATAATAATATCGCTACTGTAAGTGCAAAAGGTCGTATGCAACAATTTTACATGTTTATTCAATTCCTGCTGAAGGTAACATTTTGTAATCTACAAAGCTGCAATAAGTAGTCCGCTACTATAAAAATATCAGAGGGAAATAAAATATGAAATTATACTATGGAATCATAAAGAAATAATCAGTAAAAAGCTCTTCTGTAAAAAAATTCAATTTTTCTATACAACCTTTTGCATTACATACATACATGCATACATATGTGGCGCGACATTCCATTACCGAGTCTAGGCCTCCTCCTCCTCCTTCTGTTGCAGCAGGCCACGCTGTCCAACCATCTCGTCCTTGGCCTTCCTACCCGTCTTGCGAGATGCAGCTCCTCCATCATTACTTCCTTGGGTATTTCAAGGGTTCTGGTTCTGGCCACATGCCCTGTCCACCTTAGTCTGCCAATTTTAATATCTGTATAATAAAACTGAGCTCCCTATTTTTTCCTTTCCTCCAGACATCACTGTCCTTTACTGGACCAGAGATCCTTCTGAGGACTCCTCGCTCGAACACACTCAGCTTCATCTCATCACTTTTCGTCATCGTCCATACTCTGAGTCATATGTCAAAACAGGCCTTACAAGAGTCTTGTATAGAATCAGCTTGGTCTTATTTGAGAGATACCTACTTCTTAAGTGTCGGCCAAGTCCAAAGACACATCTATTGGCAGCCGTGATCCTTCTCTGTATTTCTTGAGCCATGTCATTTTTGCTATTTATTTCAGACCCAAGGTATATAAAGCTTTTTAGTCTCTCAAACTTAAAAGAACCTACCTCAAATAGAGATTTCAGATCCACCTCACCACCAACTCTCATGTACTTAGTTTTCTTCTCGTTGACTTCTAGACCTAGTCGTCTTGAAGCTATTTCAAGGGCTATAAACACTTCTCTGAGAGTCCGTTCAGACCTTCCTATTATGTCAATATCATCAGCAAAACCAAGAAGCTGTGTCAGGTGGTTGAAGATTATATCGCTGGTCTGAATACCGGAATCTCTTATAGCTTTAGACAGGCGAGGGCACCCCCTTGCCAAACCCCACTGCTCACTTTAAACTCTTCGGAGGCATCCGAACCGACGCATATTCTACATTTCGAGCTGTCAATGGTCATCTTGATTAAACGTATAAGCTTCTGAGGGATACTTAGCTCTAGTTGTGTTCTATCAACGCTGTCGTATGCTGCTTAAAGTCCAGGAGTAAATGGTGGGTGACTACCTTACGCTCCATAGTCTTTTCTAGGATCATCTTGAGAGAGAATAGTTGATCAGTGGTTGAGCGTCCTCGTCGAAATCCAACCTGATATTTCTCCAGTTCCTTTTCAGAATACGAGAGAATCCTCTAAAAAAGAATGTTAGAGAGCAGCTTATAAGCGAACGAAAGGAGTGAGAGTCCTCTATAATTAGTGCATTCCGTTTGATGTCCCTTCTTATATATTGGGCAGATAATGGGTGTAGCCCATTCCTTAGGCGTAGCTTCCCTCTCCCAGATGGTCAGCATTAAATCATGCAGAGCTTTCTTGAGTTCTTCACCTCCACATTTCAACAGCTCTGACTGGATTCCGTCCGGGCCTGGCGCCTTTCCATTTTTTAATTTCCTCAGGACGTTTTCCATTTCATCCTCATCCAGGGGTTCAATAGAATTCAGCGAGTCTTCCTTCATTACCCCTACTTCTCCAGGCTCGGTTCCTCTGTTTATTGTGTCTTTGAAGTGTTGTACCCATCTCTTTAGTACGTCATCCTTTTGGCTTAAAAGAGATCCATCCGTGTCTTTGCATGCCGCCACTCTGGGCCTGCAACGACAGCCTACCCTCATTTATTCTCTGAAAGAATAGCCGACTTTCATTTTGGCCGCGTAATGCCTCTGTGTCCTCCATATTCTTATTTTCCCAAACTCTTCTCTTTCAGCGGAATAATCTCTTCTCTTCGCGTCTTTTTCTTCGATATGTTTGTTGGGAGAGCCTCGTGGGACGTTGAACCTTCTTTCTGTAGGCTTCGTTATTCACTTTTACTGCTTGAAGGCACTCAGCATCAAACCATGGGGGCCTTCTAGATTTAGTCTCGTAGCCAAGAGATTCTTCTGCTGCCTGTTTGATTGCGTTGCTGCATCTCTTCCACTGTTCATCGACCATAGAGGTGTCATTAATAACTTCTTCATTGAGTCTCGTCTCCACAGCTTGTTGATACGAATATTGGTAGTCTGTGTCCTTTAATTTAGCTACATCAATCTTCTACTATGGTCGTTGGTGGTGGTTTTTAACCAGCGAAATTCGTTTCGCCTTTTTGCACTAACAATAGCGAAACACTTTATTGAATGTTAGATAAATAGAATAGTTGCCAGATAATCCAATCGTTTTGTATGAGTAACATAAATAACCATAGTATTATATATATTACGTTTTT